CAGGATTTATCGTAGGTTGAGAAAGCGATTCGGTGGAATCTGTTGCGTGTAACCTCCCTGTGGGCAGCAGAGCTTGGTTCTAGATAATGATTTTGCAGATTATTGACTAACAGTAGATTAGCTTCAGTGAACAGTAACACACTACAGTGGTACCTTGGTTTAAGAACGGCTTAAAGGTAAAGGTAAAGGTACCCCTGCCCGTACGGGCCAGTCTTGACAGACTCTAGGGTTGTGCGCCCATCTCACTCTATAGGCCGGGGGCCAGCGCTGTCCGGAGACACTTCCGGGTCACGTGGCGAGCCAGCGCAGCACACGGAAACGCCGTTTACCTTCCCGCCAGTAAGCGGTCCCTATTTATCTACTTGCACCCGGAGGTGCTTTCGAACTGCTAGGTTGGCAGGCGCTGGGACCGAGCAACGGGAGCGCACCCCGCTGCGGGGATTCGAACCGCCGACCTTTCGATCGGCAAGCCCTAGGCGCTGAGGCTTTTACCCACAGCGCCACCCGCGTCCCCCTTATTTATGAAAAACTTGGATTAAGAACCCAGAAGTAGGTGTTTTGGTTTGTGAACTTTGCCTTGGAAGCGGAACATGTTCCGCTTCCTGTTGAGTGTGTTCCATTTGTAAATTGAGTCCCCCGCTGCTATGGGAAAGCATGCCTTGGTTTAAGAACACTTTGGTTTAAGAACGGACTTCCGGAACGGATTAAGTTTGTAAACCAAGGTACCACTAAAGTTAGCAAGAGCATTTGTCTTAAACCACCTAAATTCCATCAACTGGGGATGAACTAATAATTTAAAATGAGAATACTTGGACGTGCCTTGGTTTCCTCCCAGATTTAGGATTGGCATAATGTGTGCATCTGCCAAGGAAGCTGAACTCTGAAACTGCAGTGGGGCCAGGCAGCCTGCAAAAAATAAAAAATGAAGCTGCATTTTGACTTCGTGTAATTCAGCTGGTGCCATTTAAGGAATAGTGAGAGGCTAGGTGGCTCTGGAAGCCTCCCTGGTCTATGCCCTCCTCAAATAATGGCTCTTTCTGGCTTTGTTAAAGGTAATCCAGAATAAATGGCTAAAGTGAGGGTGACACCTGTGTGCATCTGGGGCTCTTCTTAACAAACTCCCAGACAAAGGCTTTTTCTGTGTGACCAATGTGCTGCTTCAGCACACACCCATATTCCAGGCAGGAATTGCCATTTATTTTTAAATGGGGACTTTCATCTGCTTCCAAGTAAAAGGAGAATAAAGTTAGGATCAGGGTGTTGGGAGAGAGGAGCTGTTCAAACTTTTAGGAGTTCCTGGGATGAGGAACACAGTAGCCCTCTAGGAGTTGTTAGACTCCAACTCCCATCAAATGCAGCCTGCATGGCTAGTGACCAAGGAGAGGGGATTTTCAGTCCAACATAACTTGGAAGATACCATGTTCCTTGTCCCTGGTTTCGATAGTTTGGTTATTACAAGTCATCTGGATGAGAAAAGATATTTGCAGGAGGGTTGGGATGTTGTGAGTTTTGCACTAAGAACTCATTGCAGAGAGTCTGCAGTAGAGTTTGGGGGGTGTCTATTTGTGCTATTACACAAATTATTATTTGACCCAAATAACTTAACAGGAGGCAATAATTTGCATAGGAGTAGATGTTAGTCTGTTGCAGGAAAACCAGCAGAGAGTCTTGTGGCAGCTTAGAGACTAACATGTTTATTATAGCAAAGCTAATATGCCATAATAACTTTTGCCAGCCTGGTGTTGAACTACAACTCCTTTTGGCCCCAGCTAGCACAGCTTTCCATGCAAAAGGATCCCAGATTCAGTTCCCAGCATTTCCCATTGGAATGGGGGGGAAAACTCTGCCCGATTCCTAGAGAGCTGTTGCCACGCAGCGTGTAGTGGTCTGACTCTTGTCTAAGGCAGCTTCTTATTTTCTCTGTATATTTGGTAGTAGGATGAATTGACCTCAGTGGGTTCCTGAGGCTGTAATCCTAACTCCATTCCCTTGGGAATAAGCCCCATGGAATTCAGGAGGATTGCCTTCTGAGGAGACCGTGTTTAGGACTGAGCTGTAAGTAAACGTTCAGAACTACTAAAGTCTAGCCTATGGTGGCAAAGCCTCAGAAAAGGATGACACTATTAGATGCTTCTTTACAGGATCTTTCTGTATCCCTGATGTTTTAAAAAGGCAGTCTTGCTATTAGTTTAGCATTATTATTATTATTGCTACTAGCTTGCTTGTCCTGCTGCATCACTAATAATTTGCTTTTCTCTTGTTTTCAGCAGACTGTACCTCTGGATGACAAAGAAAATCAGTTGTTTTAGACAGAACCGGGACATTAGGACACCAATGAAGGAAAGCAAAGGAGAATGGAGTGCCCAGCTTCTTCCCAGGTCTGATGAGGTGGCTGAGCAAAGAGGCCAAGCTGTTCTACGAGAGGCATTTGCAGACCAAAGACTTTTTAATTTTTTTTAAAAAAGACTCATAGGGCAAAGCATGGCTGTGTGAGCAGGATGCCTAGCTTTGCACAAAATGCTATTGTTTTCTATTTATGAAATGCAAAGAATATTCAGCACCTGCTGATGCAAAACCAGTTTAAATTATTTGTAATATCTATATTTGTATTTATTTTGATAAAATATCCTTAAGCACATGTTTGTCTTAAAATTGCTTCTGGCATTTGAATATGTCCATTCCAAATTAAATGCTTTTTTATTACTGTATATCTGAGGTGAAGTGTTTTATTTATCAGCAGATGTGGTAATGAGGTTCTCTGCTTGCAACCTGACAATGGGGTACTACTAAGGAAAGCCCTTGTTTTAGCTTGTATTGCAAATGCGTCTTTAGGAGTCAAAATCTGCAGATATAAAGAGTGGGGGCTCAGCCTTGCCGGGGATAGGATAGAAATGCATGTAGAGTAGCCCCATTTGCCTGTCTTAAAAGCGCAGCAGCCCAACTGAGTCAGACCAGCGGTCAGTTCACTGAATGCTTTCTCAGGATCATCAAAAGGTTATCCAGACCAAGCCTTTACTGCAAGAAAAACCCGTCAGCCATGCAGAGAACCAGTGTGGTGCCTTAAGGTGGCTGCAGTTCAAGATCTTCTGGTGACATAGCTCAGCGAAGCAACATACAGTGGTACCTTGGGTTACATACGCTTCAGGTTACAGACTCCGCTAACCCAGAAATAGCACTTCAGGTTAAGAACTTTGCTTCAGGATGAGTACAGAAATCGTGCTCCGGCGGCGTGGCAGCAGTGGGAAGCCCCATTAGCTAAAGTGGTGCTTGAAGTTAAGAACAGTTTCAGGTTAAGTACTTAACCCGAGGTACCACTGTACTGTGGTGGAAGGCAGTACCTCTTCACTGCTATGGAGAACTAGCTTTCTCAGCTACATCTGAGCAAGTTCCCTTTTGAGCCATCCATCAAGTTCTACACCAAGAGCATAGACAAGGGTAGAGCACAGCAATGGAGGGGCACCTTGAGCTTGGAGGGAAGAGGCTATTTTCCTGTGTGATTTGCTAACCACTAGGATAGAGCAGAATGCTCACTGAGCATTTTCAGTGGGGCCCCGATACCTTCTTAAAAGGTGACTCCCCTCCCCACCCCCGCCGCTGCTCATAGCAGCCCTGGTTGGCTGCTGCAATGTGTTTCAGACCAGTCTCCTGCATGACACCAGCACTGTTGCTGGGAGGAAGAATTTGAAACTTAAGACATCAGAACAGCGACAGATCAGGGCTGTGGGGAGCAGGTGTTGAAGGAGCACTACATGTTTATTTAGCCATGCAAAATGCCACTTTTTGTACCTTGTGGAGCATGTCCCACTGTTTCAGCTCATCACAAAACTACACTGACACTGCCTTAGTGTCATGCTAAAAGGATTACTGAAGTTACGGTATGCATAGCTCTTTGAACACTTACTTACCAGAAGTTTGAAACCTGCCTTTCCCAACCTGGTGCCCTCCTGATGTTATGGACTACAAGCCCATTGCCTGCACACACAGGCCAAAACATGGCTTTGAAAGCACTTACGGCTATGTAGAGCAGTTTAACCACTTTACAGCTGTGTAGCTTGCCAGCTTGGTAAGTGTGAGGTTAACTGAGTCAGCTGCATGACACTTCTGCTGACTTGAGGGAAGTCATGCTCTGTTTGAGAGGATATAGCTTTTCAAGTATTGCTGCCTGTTTGTCAGATCTGTAGGCTCAGAAAGGGGTGACTGCCAACTGGAATAGGTCTCTGCCCGGAAGCAGACTCTTCCATCTCTGACGCTCCTCCTGTCTACTTGTTCCAAATGATACAGCCATGCACTCTGGTAAGGAGTGACAATGCCACAGGGCAGAATCAAGGCAACTAATAGAACCTAGCATTTATATAGATCATGTGAGTGTTCAAAGTGCCATGAATGCACAATTTTTTAATCCTTAAAGACAATCTCATAAAGTAGCTCAGTATTCTCTTCATATTACAATGGGTGGGGATTAGTCCGAGAGTGGCTGGCTTATTTAGCTACAGGGGTGCAACAATAAAACTGCTAGCACAGTTGCAAAGCTAAGTAGGGTTTGATTTAATTTCAAATTGGATGTTGAGATTCCTTCATTACAGGGGGCTGGACCTGATGATTCTTGCGGGTCCCTTCCAACTCTACAATTCTAGGATTTGGCAGTGAGCTTCTGGCTGGGGTGACATGTGGACAAGGGGCTTCATGGATCCTATTCTTAGAGACTAAATTGAGACGACACATGTAACTTGAAATTGTTGGTTTTCTGTTTTCTGTTTTCCCGACCTTGTATTCCAAACTAGGCCTCTTTTTTACAATAGAAATTCTGTTGAGGCTCTGGCAGAAATACATGTTGCTATCTAAAGAAAGAACATTCCATCTGCAGAGCCTTCAGAGATCCCCAGTGTGATTACAATCAAAGGTGCAGAATGCTTTGATAGAGCTTTTAGGCTTTGATAACAGTTCCAACATCAACAGTTACCCAACCATATCTACAGTACATTGCAGTGCATTAAGGGAGCTGGTTTAAATTAGTTTATTTCCTGTCAGATAGGGCAATTAAAAGTCCTAAAATAGAGTTATAGCATATCTTCTCATCAGCACACCATCTGAAGACTTAATTACTGTACTTTCCCTTCATTGTGAGGGATCCTCTTCCTCAAGATGTAGAAAAACAGAGGTATATTAACAAGCAGCTGTAAATAACCAAAGGACGAGACCCCAAATCGTCTGTATAAAAATCCTCCTATAGTTGGGCCTATTGTCCTTGTCAATGGTTGAACTGAGGAACTAATTCCCAGCATGGCACCTAGGGAAGAAAACATAAAGAAAATTAATTCTGAAGATCAAAATTAATGTCAGTATCTACTCCATCACCAGTGTATTAGACCAATGTGTCTTTACCATTTCTGCAATCGGGGATTTCATATGCCAGTCCTAAACACAGTAATGTGGCAGACCATAAATCTGATTTCACACAATTCACACAACCCTGCAATTGAAATAAGGAACGAAGAGAAGTCCATTTCCAATCACGGAACTTGGTACCTCACCAGCATTACAAGGGATGGGTGTGATGAAGCACTAGTAAATCCCACTGGCCCGGTTTGCATGTCACACAAAGCTAAACCAACTATAGGTGCCAACTATAGGGGGCAGAAGGAGCTTTAGCCCCCTCAATATTTTTGGTTAGGAGGCTGAGCCCTTCCAATATTGAGGAGGCCCCCATCCCCTACTGCCCACTGATGTCATGCATATGATGTCATACATATGTCATGTGACACCGCACCCCTTCAATGTGGGGGGCAAGTCAGTGCCTTTGACCATGGCTTAGCACAAATGTGTGAGTGTGCCAGTTCCCAAGGAGATTGGGACCATTTTGCTCCTCCCTGCAGGTTTCATTGGCAGACTCTGCTGAGCTAAGCCATGGTTTGGCTAAACATGTCATCTGAACTGTGGCTTGTGGTTTAGTTTTCTCCGGGCTAACCTTGAGCTGCAACCAAAGTCTGTTCTTGGTTTACAGCTTGCGGTTAATCTGGAGAGTGCAACACCACCAAATTGGGACAAGGCACTAAGTCAAACCAATGCTTAGGTCAGCATGGTGCAGCAATAAAATGAGGAGCAAAGTAGCCACTATCACCTTCCCAGATGATCACGCTAAGCCACAGTTTGGTTTAGCTTGATGCACAAAAGCAGGCCACCAGTATCAACAGGAAATGTAAGCATATGTTTAATTCTGTTGCACAGAACTGCATGATGAGCTACACCAGCTGAAATTCCCTTTTCTACACAGCTACTAAAGGAGCCCTGCCCTCTTTTTGGACCTGGTCACCCTACCGTGGGTGCTAACAAGTGACCTTAGCTTGGAACTTTGCCGACCTATCCCCTAACACCCAAACAGCTTGTTCTGGATGCTGAAGGGAAGGGCAGAGTGGCATCCGGCCCAAAGAGAAACCCAGAAGACTGTAGACTGATGGAGGCAGCTGGCCCTGCAGCAGAGAGCAGAAAGGGTGGGGCAGGAGAAACAGCAACCCGAGAAGAGTGGACTCCATAGATGGCTGACACGCCGACAGAATCTGACAAGTGGATGGCTGGAGAAGAGGCCGTTCAAGCAAGCATTGAGCTTCACCTGACTGGAGTACATTGTGATTGGCACAGGGTGGCCAGGTGATAAAAAAGGGCAAGGCTGTTGCACCTTGGCTGGTTGTGTAGAAGAAGGGATTTCAGCAGGTGCAGTTTGCATGGCAACCAAAGGTGCAGAAAATCTACCTTTTCCCCCACACTGGCCACCCAAGGCATGCATGCTCCTCCTGAAAAAGGACCTTGATTTATGTTCCTTAAGGTGTCTAGCAATTCTCCTCACCGGAAAACCTCAGTTTGTTTGACAGGAAAAGCCATGAATGAAATAATTGCAACTGGTGAAGAAACTGTCAAAAAGATCGAGGTTTTTTTAAAAAAATAAAAAATTATTTAAAAGCCACAAATGAAAACATTTCAACTGGCAATGCATGATTGTAAAGCAGGGAGGTGTCTTTAAATGAATCGATGGGTGGGTCAGGTAACGTGCAGTTCCACCCACAGCCAGAAATGGGTGTTGAAGCACTTTTAATAGCTGTGCTGCTTTGGGAGTCACCCACACTGCAATAATTGCCAGAAACGGCTTTAATAAGAGCAGTCGAAAGACTTTGCAAAATTTTCTCCAGTGATACATGCTGTCCCTAATGTCCCACTTTGAAGCCCAGCCCCTCCGCACCTCACAGCACTAGCAACTTATTTTCCTTAGCTGAAAACATGGTTTTCCGACTGGGATATGCAAGCTCATATCATATCTTAAGCTCATGATTGCTACACGCTTCAGTACAGACCCAAAACATCCCTTGTTAAATATAGCACAGATTCTAGACATGTCTCTGCCGGTAACCCAGCCCTGATCTACTACGTGCTCCTATTATTCTAGTACACACATCTACTTGAATGGAAATACAAAACCACCACCCCTTATATGCAGCTCCCTCCCCCCCCTTCTCTCTCTCATATTCTCTGGGTCCCAGTACACTGTTCCCCCTACATTTTGCTCCTAGGCTATATTACCAGTATTTTGCTGCTCCCAAGCAGACACTGGCAAATTCTTCTGAACTGTGACCTAATAATCTATGCAAATCAGGTTTGGGATTAGGCCACTGAGGGAGCATTCATATGTGACTGCGGCTACCCCTCTGGGCTCAGGAAGCAAGCAGAGCAGGCTCCATTTCCCTTATAACAGCTCTTTTGAGAAGATGCCTGAACCCGTGCCAGCTGCTGCCTTTAAACCTTCCCTCTCAGCTTCTTCATTTCAGAAGCGTAGGGTTGCTTCCAGGGTTGATAATATCCACAGCTCATGCTGATCTAGCAACCACAAACAGCACTTTAGTCATGTTTTAAGGACACAAAGAGCTGGTGTGGCGGGTTCAAATCCCCGACTCAGCCACAAAGCTCACTAGGCGACCTTGGACCAGTCACTGCATCTCAGCCCAACAGGATTGTTGTGAGGATAAGGTGGTGAGGGGGGCAGAACCCCCATGCCACACTGCCCATTTATAGGTGGGCTATAAATGCAATAGTAAACAAAGAAATAATAAACTAAACATATGATTCACAGGAAGTGTTCTCAGAATAATCATGGGAATATCCTGGCATATGCAGAGTGCACGTGGCATAAGGCTGGAGACATTCCACATTGGATACAATGCCATTGTATCCTTACTACAATCCTGTGAGGTTAGGATGGGCTGAGGGAGATGACTGGCCCAACACCGTCCAGCAAAGTTTATGACTAAGTGAGAAATTGAACTTGGCTCTTCCCAATCCGAGTATGAACACAGGCTGTAAGTGACTTGAGAGGGCCTTTGCTTGCCATTGCACATACATATTCCTTTGATCCTGCTATAATCCGGGATCAAACAGGTCTGACAGGATTTTCATAGAATCATAGCACTGTAGAGTTGGAAGTGACCATGAGAGTCATCTGGCACAACTGCCTGCAATGCAGGAATCTTTTGCTCAATGCGGGGCTCAAACGCACAACCCTGAGATTAAGAGTCTCACGTTTTACCAACTGAGCTATCCCAGAAGTCTGTATAAAAACCTGGAAAACCGTTTTCCCCCAGAGCTGAAAGTTAGGTAATTGGCAGACCATAAGCAGTAATGCCATTTTCAAACCACCTTCAACTCTCTGGAAAAACAACAACACTATGGCTTGTCTTCTGCTTAGGTAAAGTGATTGTTCCGAGGAGACACTGTGAAGCACCAGGGTACAGCTTGCATATCGCCATCATGGAATTCTTCAGAAGAGTGAAGAATTACGAGAACTCCCATTCATCACTTGTGGTGGCCCTCAAGCAAGAGCCGTGAGAGTGCATGGGCGCCACCACCAGGCTCCATTCTTGCAGAGTGACAGTGCATGAGCATGGATGCCTCTCTAAGTGGGGTTGCTGGAATCAGGCATACTGCAGTGGTGGACACGCACATAGCCCCGTTGTGGAGGCACCAGTTCACAAACATTGCACCTATGCATGAGTGCTGCTAGGCTGCAAGCCAAGAGGTGGTCCCAAGGTGCTGGTGTGATAGGAGGCCACATGACACCTAGGTCCTACCTCCAAGCAGAGGGACACTGCACAGGTCTTTCCCAAGGACATTAATCCCAGGAAGCCCTGCAAGATTCTGTCTCTTTCTTCGGCAACCGGCTCATTAAGTCAATATGGGTCACTGGCTTCCTTGCAGGCACCCTTGCAGCTTCCAGCCCTACTGATCCTAACTAGTCTTCGCCGGCTTGGCAAATAAGCAAATCCCACTGAAGGCTACCCTTTGTTTTAAAAAAATAATACATGTGAGATGTGCAGAGACTTTGGAACTGGGCATTCTTCCTGCTGGGCTCTCTGGCAGAGCACAAGACACACATTTGGCAGTGCATAGCGTTTTCAGAGAAGTGAACCGGAATCAAGCACTGCATCCAGCTGGTTTTATCAAGAAAGAGGGAGAAGGAAATCCATCCGGCGGAGGAGCCGGTCTTACCAGTGTCAGAAGCAGGGACGGACTTGGTCAGGATGATGTCCGAAATGACGGCTATAGTACCGAAGGAGAATATCATGGGGGGCACAATGAGGCAATAATGGAAAATGTTGGTCATCAGGGCCTGGGAGATGGGACAAAGCAGGAAAGCCTGTTAGAATGCCAGCTTTAGAATACAACAAAGGTAGCAGGGTGTGTGTGTGTGTATCAGTATCCAGGAAGACTTGGATAAAGAAAAAAACATTGCAAGACACGAGTGTGACAAGGCCCACAGAGCCAAAATGTGCCAATACAGAGGAGCAGCTCTGCTCTACACCAGTCATGTTTGGCTGACAAAAAGTGACAGGTTTTTGTTTTTTAAAGAGCTGAAAGTCAATTGATTGAAGGATGGAACCTTATTAAATAAAAGACAGCCACTAGGTTCCTTAGATCTGAAACAGGCAGCTACTGACTTGATTCTGTAGTTTAGTAGCAATTTTTTTTGTAAGGTAGCTTATTGTTAGGTGTTAATAAAAGGAACCTATGTGTTCTGATTAGTGCCAGTGTCACAACCAAACATCTGAAGGCATTTGGATTTCAGAAAGGAGAGAGGCCACCTGACTTTAAAAAAAGGATTTGTCACAAGTTCACTTAATGAGCCAGCAAAGAACTTCTTTTATCTCCCATCTTAAGCTGTGGTGGGTCATACGGTGATTTCCTACAGAGAAACCTTCAGCAGACACTGCAATGCAATTTGAAAGGAGAGAGGAACTTCCGTCCGTATCTTTAAGTATTGGAGGGCTGTGGGAAAGTGGTGTGCATGTGTGAGCACAGAACAAGTGGCCGGCTTCACACTGGGTAGTCTCTCTCATGGGTGCAGACTGCAGATGTCAGCAGGAATGACCATCTACTCAGCAGTGGTATCTTTGCAAAGCAATAGGATCCTGCAACACCCACCTGCCAGCTCCTCCATCACCTCCCAGTGCTTAAAGATACTGGCATGAAGTTCTCTCCCTTCTCAATCACCACTTAGTGGCTGCTAAAGGTTTCATCCAGTGAACCACCTCAAGAGCTACAGCTGTTTTTAAGATTCTTCCATGATGTGATGTGCAGTTGCAGTGCAGTTTCCCCCAATGGTATACACATGCAAAAGCACACACAAAAAAACCACACCCTCCAAAAGCGGGTTCCCAAGGCTTCAATTGGTTTTTAAACAATGTTGTGGGAAAGAAATATGCCAGCCATGTGTCACATCTAGCTCAGCCTTTGCAGGGGCAATTTAAACAGCAGAGAGAGCTGTAATGTGGTCTCATTCAAGTGCTCATTACTAACCCAAGACTGCCTGCACAATATTTACCAGCAATGTATTAGCACAGATAATTAAAGCCAAACTGTGCTTGTCAAAACAAACGAGCAGCAGCGCATTACAGAGTGCAGAACTGGTGTGTGTGTGTGACCTGTCTGGCCTGCTCACTTGCTAATGAATCAATTGAACATTTGTCAGCCGGAATGTCTCCCAAGTATAAATGCAAATCAGTGTGCTTAAGAAGTGAATGTAATTATTTTCTTATCGTGCAGCTGCTCAAAGATCCTTCCAGATCTTTATCACCAAAACAAAAGGACTGAAGACATGCTTAGGCATGAATTTGGGAATGCACTCATAACCCACCTCCAGAATTGCAGGGACCATCACTCTGTATACTTTGCCTTCCAAAGGTCTCAGGTCCAACCCCTGGTTATTAGTACTGGGTTGAAGGCGACTGGATAGACCTCTTATTCCTGAGACACTGGGGAGCTGCTCTGTTCAGGAGATCCATCACTGGACTAGAACAGGCTTCCTCAACCTTGGCCCTCCAGATATTTTTGGCCTACAACTCCCATGATCCCTAGCTAGTAGGACCAGTGGTCAGGGATGATGGGAATTGTAGTCTCAAAACATCTGGAGGGCTGAGGTTGAGGAAGCCCTGGCTAGAAGGACAAATTGCCTGACCATACATTTAAAGCAATCCCCTAAAGAATAAATAAGATGCTGGGGATTATAACTCTTGTGAAGAGTAAACTACAGTTCCCAGGATCTTTCAGGTGTGAGTATCCTGTACATGTGCTTTAAATGTATGGTTTGGTAGCCAATTGACCTACCTTATTGGTGGTGTGTTTGCTAGGGACTGCCCAGCAGGGCCTTTTCAGAGGTGGCACCCTGGTTGTAGAATGGCCTCCCTAGTGAAGTGTGCCTGTCTCCATCGTTATTAAGTTTCAGGAGGATTTTGAAAACATTCACTTTTATCCAGGCACTTGGTGGCTGAAGAGTACTGACCCTGGCAACCCCAAGATAATTGGGTGGAACTGCTTTTAGAATATTTTTCTACTGTAATTGTTTTTAGAATCTTTTCTTTCCGATTGTGCGTCTGTGTGCTGCCCTGGGGTCCTTGGGGAGGAAGGGCAGGACATAAATTTGATAAATCAAACCAATAAGTAATAATAAGGCGGCTTCTTACATTCTTTGTTTGGTAGTCAACTTTCCATCTCTCAGGGAGTCTGGAAAGATATAGGTGTGTTTGCCCACACCCAGCTTTTCAAGTAGCTTTGGGAACAACCCTTTAAATCTATATCTCCTTTCAAAGTGTAGGTGGGTTAGTAGGAGTTTTTACTGTTAGACGCCTTATGCGCAGTAGCACACCACCTGCCTTTTCACTTTTTAATATCCAGTGGGGGAGAGGGGGAGGAGCCCCCAAATATTGCTGTCACTTCCTGCAGATATTTTGACAAGGTATTGACCATGAATGGGTGGCCACAACAATTCAGAACCGTAGCCATCTAGCCATCTAGAAGACATCCGAAGGCAGCCCTGTTTAGGGAAGCTTCTAAAGTTTGATGTATTGCAGTGTTTTAATATTATTATTTTTGGGAAGCCACCCAGAGTGGCTGAGAAAAGGGCACAGGTAAAAGATGTGGTGCCAAAGGCTGGGGAGGACCCTCAAATGGTGGCTCTCAAAGCTCAGGGTTCAAGCTTCACCTGCCCACCTGACCTGATCTGCTGCTGCATCTACCATTTGCCTGTGGCCAGAAGACTTTGTAAATCAATAGGAATTCTTTTGTAAGCAAAACAAAACTGCTTGCTGCCTTCTTCATTGCAATTGCCCTCACAGCACCTTGAGATCTTGAGATGGGGGCAAATTGCAACAAGTCCCAAACTGCTTCAAACAAGATTTCTGTGTGACACCTGAGGACAAAAGGCATGCGTAGTGTATCATATCTGAACAGCGCATGGTGGCTCTTCACCCCCACTCCTTTAACATCTTGACACGGCAGCGAAAACGTTGCTCGGGAGAAATTGATTCTGACTACAAATATTTTAAAGAGATAAGCAGCCCACGAAGTTTAAGTATGACACTTGAGGCTTGGATTTTATATCAAAACTTATACCGACTCCCTAAAGAGATCTGAGGGGGATATTCATTAATGATATTTAGGTGCAAGATTAAAACTCAAGTCTTTTAAATGATTCTTTAGCTCTTTTTATTGGTTTTTATTGCTGCTTTATTGACTATTGCTGAAATATTTTGGAAGGCTTAATAGAAAGTATTAATAAGGAAAAAGCAATTACTGATGGTGAAATTTAAAATTTTCATTGGGCTCTTCATATATTTGGTCAAATATTTGTCCATCTAGGCCAACACTGTCTACTCTGACTGGCAGGGTCTCTCCGGGGTCTCAGTCAGAAGTCTTTCCTATTATCTGCAACTCATTCTTTTTACTGGAGATTCCAGGGGTTGAACCTCAGATTTTCTGCATGAACTATGTGACTGAGCTATAATGAGTCCTTCCCCAAACCATAGTTCCTTCCTAAGGAAGCCATTGGATCTGGGCTGGTTTGGAAGGCAATGAGGCTGAACTCTGGCTGATTTGGAGCACCCTGTTCATTACTGCGCTCTATTTCCCATTATTTTCTCCTTCATCTGCTACCCTAAACCTTTGCTGGGATTCTTTTCAGTGCAGCTGGCCTCTCTGTTAATTTCAGCTCTACATATTTTGGAGGCCACTGAAAGGAAGTGATTAGTTTGGGTGGGATTGTAACTGGAGATCTTTGTTAAATGTCCTCCTCCTAAAAGAGCTGCAGAGCTCATAAAATTGTTTTTATGCCAGCAGATATATAAACTGCACACTTAGTTCAGACAGGGATATTCCTGAAGCTCTGGCCAAGTTGCGTCAAGATCGCTTTTTCCTCATGAAGAAACCCAGCACATAAACCACCCCCAGAGATGGGATATTTTCTTGGCAGGTCCTTGATTATAAAGCTTTTCCCCCTTGCAAACAGCGCTGCAGCTGTACTTTCCTATCAATAGTTGTCATGGGAAGGTATTTCTGGGCCCTTTAAGGCCTCTGTGGCAGTGAGGAGAGCCTTGTGGAAACAATGATTGTAATCTCTGAACCAAGTTGATAGCAGAGATCCTAGGTGCTGCTGGCAGAAACCGGTTTGGGCTCGGTTTGGGCGCTCCACCATAGAGGTAGCATGCTGTGATTAGCACGACCAGTTGAAAAAGAAGAGAGGGGTCCTGCCCCTTTAAAAGTTGCGTCGAAGGTGGCATTTCAGCAGGTATCACTTGCATGGCAACTGTTAAAAGAGCAGGAGCCCCATCCTCTTTTGCAGCCCAACTCTGTTTCCAAGTTGTGCAGCATCCAAATAGATTGCTGCAATAGCCAAATCGGTTAAGTAAGGGTTAACATCTACTGCCTACCTGCAGTCATGGAACCAAAGAAAGCATGTTCCTGTTTCCAGTCACTGACCAGAGCCAGGTGGTGGCCTCATGAGTTTTCAAACACATGGTTAGTGGTAATATTCAAACCATGATTGGAAGCAGAGTTTGCAACCATAGTTGCCAGGGTAACCAGGGCCTAAGCTACTGAAGGTAATGAGGCCCTTATATTTCCAGATGTCCTTTGTCAACAACAAATTGTCACTTTTTTTGTGTTGAATATATGCTATATGGTAATTTATGGACCTAATAGGTATCTAAAGCCAGTTGCACATAACAAAATATGTATTTTATCAAAGTAATTGTTGAACTGAAATACAATTAAGGAGAAGTATATTAACAGTGAAATACAATTAAGAAGAAGTATATTAATAGTGAAATAATTATTAAGCTCTAACTGTATGTAGGTTTTATTTTATTTGTTTCTTATCTTATATTTTGGAAATGTACATCCAGGTTTTTTTCCCCTTTACATTTTTTGGGGGCCCCCAAGAGAGTGGGGCCCTAAGCTATAGCTTGTTTAGCTTATACGTAAATCCGGCACTGAGGGTAACCATAATTTTCTGCCACTATTGCACCTGGAAATGAAGGGGGAATCTGAAAGGGAAACTCTTGAGTCTGCAGTACATTCCCATCTTCCAAATGATGGTTTGGAGGATCAGCGATATTGAATTAAAATAGTGCGGTTAGATGTATTTTTTGTCCTTCTGGACAATGTAACGCAAATAGCAGAAGTTTGATTATACTTTTTTTTAAAAAAAAATGTTGGCTTTTATATTTTCTCTGAACCCAGGACATTCTGGAAAGATTTGGGAAACTCCATTCCAAGCATCCTTTAACTTGCAAACATTTTAAAAATTCCAGGAGGAAGTAATGGCTTAAATCATCCCCCCCTGGTTTGTCCTAGTTGGACCATGATAGGAAGCAGACTGTTGATCTGGAAGACTGGTAGAGCTTTTGGTCATAACACAAACACACATGGGAAAAAATTGAAAAAAGTGTGAATGGACCACCACTAATATAACACAACAGACAAAACTCCCAGATTATGTCAAACACAATACTTTTCATATGTTCACTTGCATAGCATCTAGTGTAGAGTATTCAAAAGCACAGCCTAATCAGCCAATGTATGCATGTCTGGTACCTTACCATACCAACACCCACTCCGCAGAAGACAAGGACGCACAACATGAGCAGAGTCCACTCTGAATAACGACTTGTCAATCTCCCAATTACTAGGCCCTGGACAACCTAGGGAAAGAGAGGGCAGAGACATAGACAACGTCAAATTCTCAGATGCTTCTAGCCCAGAGTGAATGTTTGTTTCTGTACACTAAGAAGGCCCAGAAACTCTGTGTTGTATCTGTGAGTGTCATCTGTCAGAACAGACTGCTGGACTAGCTGGGTCATTGGCTTGAGCCAGCAGGCTTGATCTTCTTAAGTTCACGTGCATGTCTATAGGCACATGAAACAACTCTACACTGCAGATCAATGTGTATGACCCTGAACACAGCCTGGATAGAGACCACCTGGGATCACTTTGAAGGAAGCGCAAGCTTGCAAACGTAGGAAAAGAGGAAATGAGACGATGCAACCTAATCCTGAAAATAGTTCTTAAATGCACAGATCTCCTGGGAGGTTCTTCCTCTAGGTGTGCCATTTCACTATATGAGTAATTATAGGGTTTGGGGTTTAATTATATTTCCCCCACCCTGCCCTAAGGGATGGCTCCCAAGTTCCCTAGACATACTTTCTAATAAACTCAGTTCCACATTGACACTATGCCAATTCAGAGGGGAGAAGTTCTTGTTAATCAAGCCTTATAGCTGGGGCCATGGGAAACTTTCTGGTTTGTGTGGCCACTTGAGCTTTATTGCAGTTGGTACATGGACCTGAGTCACATGAGTGTCGCAGGTCCCCGGAACTCTTTAGTAAGTTCATTTGTGACTGGTGGGAGACGCTGCTCCCATCTTGTCTGCCCGCATCATTCCATGAGTATTCACATTTTTGTCAAATTTCATTAGTTTTGAAATGAAAAATAAATCCTTGCAGGTTGTGCACTCATCTACTACAAAACATCCAGGCTTATCCAATTATCCTCTTTTAAAACAACCACCACCACAGCAAAACTACAGCAAAACTGTAGCAAACCACAGCAGGCCTAGCCACATACGTCGATGCCTCGATATTGAATAATTCTTTGTTGTTGAAAGTGTAACAGCAGGGATCATTCAATTTGTAACAGAAAGGGTTAATTTTAGTTCCAGTGTCAGTCAACTACCCAAGGGAGTGGTGATGGTGTTGCTAAGCAACCATTTAGATTGGCATGATCTTCACTGAGGTAACATGTGCGCTGATTGGCTGCGGAGTTCTGAAGGAGCTTTTCTCTGCATGCTTTAGATGGATACTTAACTCTGTTCTTATCAAGGCTTAACCTAAAAGACAAAACCTCACTGTTCTTTTATTTTCAAATTATATATTGTTTTTGTTCAGTTTGTTCAGAAACTGTTATCAGTACAGTGGTACCTCCGGTTACGAATGGGATCCGTTCTGGAGGCCTGGCCGTATCCTGAAAATTTCGTAACCGGAGGACCGCTTCTGCGCACAGTACCGCACAGCGCTTCTGCACATGCATGAGCGGCAAACCCACTTCCACAACCCAAAGATTACGTTACCTGAAGGTAACGTAACCCGGGGGTCCACTGTATTTCTCTTCTTTCTAGCTTCCATCTGTGGTTACCTTTATGCATGTATGTGTACATAAATTGTCAGTAGGCTGTGCATTCTTCCTTCTCCCCCTTCCTTTGGTAAACAAAAGGAAGAACAGGAACAACAAAAGAAATGCTCAGTGATGTTCTGTAATTGTGTTACAGTTTTATCATAATTACAGACAAGCTGCACAGCTGTAGCAAATCAATTCCTCTCCTTCACCAGTCATAACAAGATACTGCACTGAAAAGGAGGGTGCAGAAGTATCAGTAATAAGAGCTCATGTACAGCTGAACGACTGAGCAGGAAAGGACTAACCCCAAGAGCAATTCAAACTGCCTGAGGCTGTGCCCCTATGCAAGGAAGAGGAGGAAAGTGGACCAAATGGTCATGTCATGCACTGAAAATTCTCCTACACAGAGGTAATCTGCTCAATACAATTGCAGAAACAGGAACACTTCAAACAACATTCTTTGTCCACCAAAGATATTATCTCCAAGTCCAAAAAAAAAACACACAAAAAAAGAAACAGTTGATGTGGGAAACAGCCATGGGGCTCTGGTCTGGACAAATGGCTAGCAAATAAGGAAAATGGAGCACTGGGCCATGGACATCATTTCCTAATCATTGCCCAGTCAGGGTGGCTGTGGTTATGGGTAGATCAGCTTCAGACAGTGTGATAGGGGAGAAGAGGCTGTGAAGCAGATATGAGAGCACAGATGGTGAAGGGCTGTCCTTTTTTTGCTAGTTCTGATCTCAGATCAGAACTGAAGCTCCTGATGAGAGTTAGCTGTGGCAGGGGGGCTTATGGCAGAGTCCAGAGTATATACATGTCCAGAGTGCATGTAAAATGAGAGTCGTCATAGCGATCCATAGTTAAAAGTAGAAGTCGAGAAATATGTCCTCTTTTGTGCTCCTTAAAATACGGCAACCCTATGTGACCTAACTTATTCCAGAGGAGAATCAAGGTTTCTATTGCTGCATTTCATTTAATTGCATCACAGCTATGATGCATATGTGTGACACATTATAACGGGGGTGGGGGAAGAATGACCTATTAATGTGTCAGTGCTCAAGTGTCAGTACCACACATGCCTGCCTTTATGACTGTAGCAATGCTCATGGTAAGAGGAAAGTGGGAAAATTCCAAGAAAATTCTAAGAACCTTTTATTTGGGCAGGCTCCTTGTGCCTTTAACAACTGCCCGACAGGCAAGAGATTCAGCAGGTGAAGACATGTAAACGTCCTAATAAGCTTCTAGTTTACTTTGCTACCACATGGTCCTAAAAGCGGTTTACAAAACTGTAAAATAAATCATAAATACACCCAAATTGAACACATAAAATTCAGTTCCCCATCGGTGTATCTCATACCAGCAATATACTTGATCCATTGAATTCTGCTTGGTACACCTCTGTTAAAGCCATAGAATCCTGGCCAAAATTAGGTAGCAACACATGTACCACCAACCACGAAGAGTCACAGTCTCCTCTTCAGGAAGACAAATGGTGAACTTCCTCGCCCTCCTGTCTAGCCTTCACGTGTGAAAAGGAACTCATTAATCGAAAGGATTGAGCAAACTCCCATTTTCACAACAGCTCAAAGGGAACTGGGTGTTGAACTCTTAAACAGATTACAGGTTCTTATTCACATGGCTTGACAGTAGCTGGGAAAAGGAAGGGAAAGAGGTGAGAGTGTTACAGAGGACTGCAGAATAATTGCCATGTTAACACCCAAACTTTGGCCTTTGGCCATTTCAGCTTTAATTCTATGGCATTATATAGGGTGATACAGAATAATGGCCGTTCAGAATCAGGCTCTGCATGTTCTCATGCAACCTCAGGCTTCAAGCCATCATTAGCACAACATTACAAGTAATTTGCGGCTCCTTTCCATGGAGGGTGGATGAGCAGCATCACAGCTTCATGCTATCAAACACCTCCTTAAAAGTGAACCGTCACTAGAATTTTGCACGTTTCCACACCAGAAGGCGAGACCTCAAAGCGCTGCTGTGAAGGCCAGCTCCCACTGGAATGAATGAACAAGTCTCATGAATCATACCTGCTCATCCGCCAGGTATTACATGAAGGGGTGGAGGTTACGCGAGGCTCCAAGTGTTTTATGAGCTCAGTGTCACTGACTCAGCAGTGGTACATTTCACAGACAGAGGATTAGATATTCTGTGTTACCCAGACTTTCCTCTACGATCTGTACGAGGAAGACAACAGTAGAGTCTTTTCGGACTTCAGTGAACCTATCTTTGGGTTAAACGCAGTACGTTTCTGAGCACAATTCAAAGAGTTGGTCTGACCTTTAAAGCCCTAAATGGCCTTGGTATACCTGAAGGAGCGTCTCCACCCCATCGTTCTGCCCAGACACTGAGGTCCAGTGCCGAGGGCCTTCTGGCGGTTCCCTCGCTGTGAGAAGCCAAGTTACAGGGAACCAGGCAGAGGGCCTTCTCAGTAGTGGCACCCACCCTGTGGAACACCCTTCCATCAGGTGTCAAGGAAATAAACAACTATCGGACTTTTAGAAGACATGTGAAGGCAGCCCTGTTTAGAGAAGTTTTTAATGACTGATGTTTTAATGTATTTTTAATATTTTGTTGGAAGCTGCCAAGAGTGGCTGGGGTATAAATATATTATTATTATTATTAATTATTATTATTATTATTATTATTATTATTATTATTATTATTATTATTCCCTGAGCCATAGCTCAATGGCACAACATCTGCTTTACATCCAGAAGGTACAAGGTGAAATCCCCCGTGTTACTAGATTGCAAACGTCTCCTGTCTGAAACCCTGGAGAGCTGCTGCCAGCAAGTTTAGACAGTGGTGAGTTAGATGGACCAGTGGTCTGGTTCAGTAATAAGGCAGTTTCGTATGTTTCTATGGAAGGCAAGCTCACCCAATGGATCATCCCTTTCCTCTCCAGTCCCCCTTTACCCTTTGAAAAGTCTCTCTGGAGGATCATAGAAATATAGAGTTGGAAGGGACCCCAAGGGTCAAGTCCAAGCCTGGATCTGGGGAACCTACCAAACATTGTGGGCTGTATCATATGAGGCCACAGGGGGACACGGGAGGAATTAACCAAACTCAGATAGAAGAAATCTATGCTCTACTGATGCAAGATTCCTCTACCCTGTTTTGGGCAATTCCTTCCACCCATTGCAGCCTCATATGACAAAGCCCACAATGTTTGGTAGGGTCCCCAGACTCTCTGGAGAGACTTTTAGGGGGCAGGGGTACATGGGGTTGCAGGGGAAAGGAAAAGAAGGGGAAGATTCATTGTGAGAGCTTGCCTTCTGCTCATATAACCCAAAAGCTCCCTGGGGACTCAACTGTTGAGATTTTCTGCTAGTGAGCTTTAGCTATTTCCTGTTGAGAGATGATGTTGGGAGTTTTCTGTTAGTAATCTTTTGATTTCCTGTTTCATATGGCCCCTTCTTGTTCATTACACTTTGGGGATTGATGTTCTGGAAAAGCAGTATAGAAATGTAACTGGTAAGAAATAACCCTGCAGAAAAGAAAAAAACAA